TTTTATTAACTCGCTCTGGGGGAAGGGACCAAGGAGATCTATGCCTAAAATTTCATTCGGAAATGTAGCGCGAATGCTATTTAAGTACCCGGCCGGGCTGTAATTAATATCATTTATTAACTGACATTGATTGCAGGACCTGACATACGCCGTTACTATTTTGTATAATTGCGGGAAATATACCGCCTCGCGTACCCTTTTTATAGTCTTTCTGACCCCGAGGTGGCCCGCTGTTTTTTCTTCGTGCAACTCCTTCAAAATGCTTAATCGAAGCGAGGCTGGGATGACTGGCTTATACTCAAGATTTTCGTTTGTTGTTTTCGTATAGAATAATAAATTATCTATTATTTCATAGTTTTTTGCTCTATTTCTTATCGCATCGATATCTGTGTGCTCAAAGCTTTCGGGGTCTTTCAAATAAGCATAGATATTTCCAAATTCAGGATCAGCTTTCAGTTCAGTAATAACCGTATCTCTAGAATCTAAAATTTTTGAAGTCAACACAGCGCATTTAAGTTCATTTCCTTCATCGTCCAGTTTTATACGAGAAAGTGCGTCAGCTACATTGTTTTCCTTACCCGGTTTATATTTTATTGTGATATTTATATTCTTGGAGTTTTAAAGCCCATCTTATTAACCTGGGCGTTAGGTTTTTTCCCCGAGTAAAGTCTACCAACAGCCGCATGATCCGAAAAGACTGTTACTGGCGATTTGCCGAAATAAACTCGAAATTTGTGTACAGCCATTAATACGGCTAATGTTTCTCTTTCTGTAGCTGTATAATTCCTTTGTGTCTGATTCAATGTTTTACTAAAAAATGCCAGCGGATGGTTATTTTGCATAAGAACCGCACCCACCGCATAGTCTGACGCATCTGCTGCAATTTCCAGGTTTTCGTCCCCCTCCAGGGAATTTTAAAACAGGGGCATTAATAAGCGCTTCTTTTAATCTTTCAAAAGCTGTGTTAGCTTCCGCTGTCCACGTAAATTTACTCTTTTTTCTTTTGATTACTAAGAGTGGTTCAACAATATTAGCGAAATCTTTTATGAAAGATCGATAGTAAGAACATAACCCAAGGAAAGATGAAAGTTTCTTGGCGGTGTTGGGCGGTGGGAAATTCTTAATAGCTTTTATTTTTGAATCTTGCGTTTCTATACCCTTTTGCGAAATTTTATAACCGAGATATTTAAGTTCTTTAGTTGCGAACTTGCATTTTGAGGCGTTAATTGTAAGACCGGCCTCTTTTAATAATTTAAAAAACTTGTTCGAGGTCATTAATGTGTTGTTCCAACGTACTACTCGTTATAATTATATCATCTAGATAAATTAAAGTTGATTTTCCTAGGACAGGCTTTAGAACAATGTCCATAGCTCTCTGGAATGTTGATGGGGCCCCACACAACCCAAAGGGCATGCGTAAAAATGCATAAGTGCCCGATTTTGTTATAAACGCGGTTTTGTGTATATCTTCGGGTCTCATAGCTATTTGATAGTAGCCAGACGTTAAGTCCAAAGTAGACATATATCTTGTCGATTTGATCTGTCTAATGATCTCGTCTATAACCGGCAAAGGGTAAACTGGAAATTTAGTAATACTATTTAGTTTTCTGTAATCGATAGCAAACCTCCAAGCCCTTTTATCCGAAGGAGGAAACTCGTTCTTTTTCCTACATAGTACGACTGGACTCGCGTACTCACTATTTATGGGCGTTATTATTTTATTCTTTAACATCTCCTGAATATGTTCTTCGATGATTAGGTCTTTTTGTTTATCATAACGATACGGTTTAGTCCTACAAGGTTTTTCGGCATTTAATTGAATCTTGTGAGTTACTATCTGGCAGTTTCCTGGTTTTTCTGAAAACAAATGAGAAAAATTACTCACCACTTGCTGTATTGCTTTACTTTCATGGTCATTCAGATGGCTAAGGTCCACTTCAGGTGTCTCCACAGGTTCCACCACCCTCTGGTCCATCTCCAACACCACGGAACTATCTTGAAAATTTAATTTGGCCCTCGCGGCCCTTAAAAAGTCCATACCTAAAATAAGAGAGTGTTGCAGGTCTTTCACCACAAAAATTAATACTTTGAGATTTTCCTCTTTTACCTGTAAGTTTAATGATAATTTCCCGATGCAGTGACATGTTTTTCCTTGCGCCGCTATAATTTCCGTATTTCTGGTTTTAAATAGTCGTATCCTATAAAAATTCTTTTTGAAGAAATTTTCACTCATAAAATTTCCTTCTGCTCCTGTATCGATGAGGGCTTCTACTGGTACATCGCCAACCAGGACTTGTATAATTGGTAGCTGTGAGTTTTTTACGATGACCGTGTTTAAATGTCTATTTGAGGGTTTTTCTAAAACTTCCGGGGTCTGGACCCTCCCTTTCACAGGCCCCTCTACTCGTTTAAAGCTTTCCTTTCAATCTGTGTCTTCTGGGTACGCGGATGTTTATTTTCAAATTTTCTTTTTGGGCCTTGACCTTCGAGTTTCGATGCGTTAGCTTGATAGTTCTTTCCCCATAAGAGCGATTTCCATTTCTGGTTTCCTCCTTCCTTCGGGTACTTTGAGAATATGTTTCCCCTCTCGCTTTTTCCGCTATTCTGCGATTTTGAAACTTCACCGCCAATTCGAAAAGTTCCTGCAATGTGCTTGGGTTTCTAATTTCAAAGTAGTCTTGGACAGCGGGTAACAATCTTGGTAATATTATTTCAATAATCTCCGCATCGGGTTTCTTCCCATACAGCATATGCGTTAGCTTGATTTTTCGTAGAATAAAGTCCGTCAATTGTGCTGTATCCCGTTGATAGAAACTATATAGTTCGGCTTCCAGCCGTGCGCGATCTTTCACTATGGGGAAGGCCTTTACTAACGATTTTTTGAAATTTTCAAATGTATACGTCGGGCTTCCAAATTCACCTAGTAGAAATTTGCCTATGTTTTTCCACCATAGCGCGGCCTGTCCTCTTAGTGCTGATGTGGCGATGGCAACTTTTTGTCTTTCAGGCACAGGGTAGAGCTGAAAGTGGTTTTCTAGACCTTCTAAAAATACCGCCACCGAATTTTTTCCGTCGAAATGGACGTTTGGCTTGATTGATGCTCTCAAAGTCTGGACCAGGTATCCAAATCCTTCTAACTGACTTGTCATTTCTTGGTGTTGTCCAGCGGCTTCCATCCAATTTTCGGCCATTTCAGTTCGATAATTGTTCGGGCGCCAATATAACGTTGCGCGCCTCCAACTTGCACGCAACCAAGAGGTGACTGTGAAAACTTGTATAAAAGATAGAGCCTTGTGAAGGGTTTAAGTCCCTTTTTATTCAACGTAATAAATTACAATTGCGTGCTCTTGACGCTCACAGACTGTGCCAACTTGGCAGTCAAATAAAAATAATAACCTGAAAAGAAAGTAAAGAGAAGATTCTAACTACCAGGCTCTCTAAAATAACTAACTCACCGCGTTTTACAATACCGCTGCTAATTCAGCAGACTTGAAGCTCACTGGAACGATTACCACTACTTCCCGCCAAGCACATTCATAGGCCGCAAAGCGGTTTCTTCAATTCTCGCTAACTACCTCCGCGCTCGTGCAGTAAGAATATCACACCGAACTCGTTTCCTTCTATTTAAATCAGAATACTTCCGCTGATAATTTGAATGCTTGCGCGTTCTACTCAAATTTACATATTCTGGCATTGGCAGTTCCAGGGGAAAGTAAGGCTTGACAGGAAAGATAGTTTAAACTTAAAATAAATGTTAGTTAAAATAAATATAAACCCTACAAACTGCAGTAATTAAGTCATTTTTATTAAAGTGTACTACATTAGTAAATTAGAACATGTGCTCTTTTTGAAGGTTGCAGAAGTTTCACTCGTTATTCTTAGTACATGTACTTCAAAATTTGCCCAGTAACGCTTTCTACAGCATTCGGGCTTTTAGTGTATCCATTATTATGACTTAATGTGATAAAGACTTTATATTTGATAATATTGTGTCCAACTCATGACAGAGTTAACAGTCTCAGCATTTGCCATCTTGAATAGTATAGTGGTTAGCTTTGCCAGCTGCCGTTTGCCTGAGTTTGAATCCCGGAGAAGGCTTGGAAGTGCATAGTATCTTTGCGGGATGTAGAAACTTAAAATACTAGCCGAAAGTTATCTCGAGGTGTTTGGCTGTAAGAAAAGAGGGGTAAGACATCCTTGGGTTCATTCACAGGGCGATTCTCCTTCAAACGTAGATGGAAATGATCAAAGTAATACTATCACTTTTAAGGTGCCCGGGGCAATTCCAGCCATAGGCGCTATCCCGCAGTCCTCGCAACGACAAAATTTTTGAACTTGATCTTTTTGGACTGATGTTACTCTCAGACGAGTGAGATTAAGTCGCGGCAACAACGCACAACTTCTGAGCATTTAGAGTAATCCTTGTATTTAGAAGGTCACCAATGCTATCAGTGTCTTTAAAACTTCATTATGAGTTTCTGATGCTCTTAACTTCTGGAGGATTGCATCGTTAACAAGCCGTTGATGGGCGATTTTAGTTTCATGATACCACAAAACGAGCTGAGTTTTTCCCTTTTGACGACGCCATTTCGTTGCTAATTGTTCCCCGTCTCCATGAACTTTCAAAAGAAAACTGTAATAATAGTACTACATAGTGATACCAATTTCACATTTCTATCTTCCGCAGTTTTCTCGTGTAAAATTTTGTGATCGGAAAAATACTTTTAAACCCATCCTGTATTTCAGTTCTTTATTTTTAGAATTAACTATATTAACAGACATGCTTCTTATATTCATAATACTACTGCCACCATTCAGGCCGACACTGGACAAGATCCTAATATTTTTTTTTATTATTTTCTTATGATATACCAAAGATTTCTTTATGAAGGATGAACATGTTATGGAACAATAAAGAATTTAACTACTATTTAGATAAGTTAATCATTTTTCAATGCTACGTTTTGTAATTAATTTGTGATAATTAAAATGGTACTTACAAGTTGTCCATTAACAAGCCAGCTGAGCTTAGCAGCAGGCTTGGATTTGGCAGAAGTGCAGTTCAGGGTCACATTGTCACCAAAGTCGTAACTACCTTCTCCTCCAGATATCGTAGGACCATCCATTGGTAAAACTGTTAAAAAAAACTTTGCTTGAAATAATCGATAATTACATTAAATTCCTTTGCGATTAAAATACATGCTTTCTCTTGTCTTAAAGAATTTTTACGATTAGAATATTACCACTGAATAAAGAAGAAAAAAACAAAAGGCAATGAAAATTTTAAATAGCTGTATACATTAAGTTGAAAGATGTCTTCCGTTAGATGTTTTATCTGCTAAGGAATAAGAACATAAATTATTGCTGTTTTCTTGTAATTTCCATAATACAAAGTCATCTGCGAATTATGAAGGTTATAAAAATGCACAACATATCACAAAAGTATTTCTGGTCACTGGATTTGTTCTTTCATGTTTATCTTCTGAAACATGTATGAATAATACATGAGCCCATCCGCCACAAAGCTTTTTATATATTTTTGTTTAATGCTTTTTTACCGAGTCTTCAGTGGGATGACATGTGATGTTTTTATCTAGCCAGAAAGTCAAAACTATGACTGAGAGTAAGAAGGAAAATCCGTTTAAATGAAAGTACTTAAACAGCAACAACTGGAAACTGTAGCTGGATATATTAGTTTTCTTTTTTAATTTATGAATATATGTAACAAAATAAAGATGTTACTGTGGAATTAAACGAGATTTTGGTATGTATGCGGTAGGCTGTAAACCAAAATGGAGTTTAATGAAAATGTGGACCCTTTTACAATTAAATAAATTTCTTTCAAGTGAAACAGTTCTTTCTGTTTAGAAAGTAGAAGGCATGAAAAGTTTATCAGGCACAAAATATGCAAAATTTTGTTTCAGTATTATTATTAAAATGCTCCATCTTATAACATGGAGGGTGGTGCTACAAATTAATTCTCATCATAATGCTTTTCGCGATGTTGTAAACATGGTTAGATTTCCATTAAAAATATAGAAAATTTGCATTCAAAGAAGATATAATGCACTTACGTATTTAACACGTTTCATATATATTATTTTTATGCTTTTCAGTCAATGAGTTACTGAACAGCAATGCCATAAAGAACGAACGAAATATAAATATGCCATAAGCAAATATAAATATGTCATAAAGAATAAGCGAAATGAACCCCCCAGACGATATAGTGGTTAGGGAAGCCTAACTGCGATACAGAAGGGCCCGCGTTCGAAACCTGGAGAAGGCATGGATGTAAAATTGTCTGTCCCTTCACAGTAGGTAGTGGTCGCCTATTAAGTGCCTCGGACAATAAAATGGCCACCACTTTTGGTTTTAGTAGTGGTCAATGCCGTTACAGGCAAGTGTCCGCCATTGGGAAAAACATACATAATGGTAGAAAGTATACATACGAGTAGAAATCATATTACGTATATACAATTTATAAAACATATTTTAAAACACATAGCCGAATGAAATCTTCATCTGTCGTTTGGTTTTGTATGTTTTCTTATAAAAGTGGAATTTTGATACCAGTTAATAGCATGGTTTTGACATGATCTTTATTTTAACCGTTAGAGTGCTGAAGAAATTTCATGCACATCTGCTAAAAGTGCGGAATAAAATGCGTAGCTGTTTACGTTTTTGGAAAAGTAATAGAAACGGTTATAATTAACTCTAGTTATTACATAAAATGTAATTTTTACTAACAAAAATATTTTTGATTTTCACTTATTACAAGAGTGTTTTGCTTCACAATTTCCACATGAATTCCTTTTTACTTCCTTGTACGAAGTAAAGGAAGTATTGTAATTGCGAAATATTTCGGGAATCATATTTCAAGGAACAGGCGCTTCACTCGTAGTATAGCAGCGCTTCACTCGTAGTACGAGGTTGGCCCATCCTTTCATTCTTACCTCCATGGAAGAGCATTTTGGGAGAAAAAGTATTAGTGTATTAGGGAAACAAGAGAAAGTTTATCATATGAGGAAAGACATGAGGAACCCCCAAGAACATAGCCCGCAGGTTTTCCTATGTCCCGTCATTGTTCATGATCTTTCTCATATATAGATTATGAAATACTTAAACATATAATTTACAACTATATGTTTACAACAAGAATTATAATAAATTAACACATATAATTTTTTAAAGTCCTCAGGTTCCGTGGAAAAAGTGTTCACTGAAAATTTTTGTAAAGTATCTTGATGAAAATAGTTTCACAAAGTAAACGTTCAAATGTTTTTAAACTTTCTTGATGAAAGTATTTCCATATATCTGCTAAATTTCATGTGGAAATATAACACACAATTTGTGATTAATTGAATAAGTTCTTATTGTGGATACGCATATTTAATACAATAGAAAATTCAATATAAAAACATAATGATATGATGCAATACTAAAGAACACAATAATACTTTGACGATTAATTGGCATGTCCTCTCCAACAACATCAGCGTACCAGGTTGCTGATGGTTGGGGGATGCTTAAGTACGATATATCAAAAAACCTCCGCTCCTTAGGGAAAAGGTAGCCTGTTTTTTTCCATTATACAATTGTCAAAGTTTTCCTTTTAAAAATCTTTCATATTAATTAATAAAGATACAAAACTAAGACTGAAATTTAAGATAAATAACTCGCATAATCAAGTTTGCAAAAATATAATTAAATATTACCTTGCGATAAGAAGAAAGAAAGGATAATTTTTTTAAAAATTATGTAAAGTGCACGTATTTGTGTGTCTGTATGTGGTAGCACTTGTGTGCTAAGCTATAGACAGAGGATTGTGACTGGTAGAGAAAATAAAAATAACCCAAATCAGTTTCATAACTATAGCTGAATCTCCTAACGAATAAAAACAATAAAATTTTGGGGTAAGGGACAGTGGGCGTGAAAACTGAATAATGCCTACAAACAAAGGGACTCGAATCTGGATCTTGGAATACGCGCCGAGGTGCTACCATAACACTACGAAGGCATGCTGGAAGGAGAGAGAAAATACATAATAACAAAGGGGGACTAATAAGTGCAACTGTAAATGACGAAATGCATTATCAAATGTGGGAAAATTTCTCCTGATAGAAAATGTCTAATGATTTAACAGAGCTTCATCCTCTGTTAAGATCTTGCGTAAGGCAATACGTATTTAGAGAGAAATTTGGCCAGCGATTTTAGAGTCAAAATAATGTTAATGTTACCAAAAGGTCACTAGATTTACTTTAAATGAAATTAATATTCTAATGCTGAGCCATTACGATTTATCCACATCTAGTTCACCTATTAGTTCAGTATCACGTCATCTAAACCAATTTTTTGATATTCTGCAAAAATATCCCTTATACAATTGTTGTAGCTGTGACATGTCTGACAGTAACATCAGAACAAGCCCACGAAATTCATCGGGGCAATGTGCGCAAGACTGCGAATGTCGTTGGCAACAGCCTTGAGCACCGTACAGGGGACAGTACGAATTTGCTGAGTTCTGCCCCCAATTTTGATGGACAATACCCTGGAGGACGGTCTGAGAGTCTTCCAACTCTCCTTCCCTACCCCAAACCTCTCGAGAGAGTTTTCGGTTCGCCTCGTATTTAGAGTTCCCCCACACGCCACACAGACACTGCCCATTTACAAACATCCATGCTTTTTCCGGGATACGAAACCGAGCCAGCCAGCGTCTCTAATCACTATCCCGGCTGGGTGGCCCTTATACAGTTACGCAATTAATGCCATATTTAGATTATTTACAAGAGAAATTACAATGGAAATGATATTAGTAATAGACAAAAATCTTTCGCATTCCGTGACCTCATCATCTGTCTTTGATTGCGTACGTTTCTGTCAATACTGATACCTTCAGCTAGTAAGCAAGTGCAACTATAATATCCGAATTTCAACATATAAAAATTATATGTTTCGTTACGAATATCATTAGCTTTTATTTGACATTAATGGAGCTCCAGATGGTTAACATTTCATCTAATATCAGACAATAATGCACTTTTCTTGTAATTTCTTTTTTCATATCCAAGAAACAATATTTCAGTATTAGCCGATTTAAGTTACATTTGGGCTGTTTCACTAATTTCATGTTCGGCATTATCACGGAACGTGCCGCAGTGGCTTTAAAAATAGTGTTCAGAGTGGACATGCACTTCATGCTTGCGCAGATCCACAAAACCGTCGCTTTTTTTATAAATATGCAGTCATAACCGATGTTATCTAAATTTTAAATTACTATAATTTTGAATGAGAATGTTTCTCGTTTCTGAATGGTAGTTTGAATATATTATAGTGCAAGTTCATGCACGTAATCATAAAAGAAGATTTCATTATTATTTATTTAGAGCAGAAACATAAAATAACCTTTCTGTCTGCAAAGCTAAATTATTTCAGGCCAATTTTAGTAAATTCTGCTTTGACATGGAAAAAATAAATTTTTCTTTCAAGCGCAATTAAATTAGACATGCACGTAACTTAAAAACTTCATTGTAAATATTTATTGCTGTATAACATTATTCACTAGCTCACATATTAAAAATAAACCTGATTACTCAAATGCCAAGGAATTGAAACTTCTCGTAATCTGACGCAACAATGCAATACATTACGTTTTTTATTATTTATACAAGCTTTGCCTGGAATACTGAAGAAAGAGCTCAAGAAAATCCTGCAAATTTATCATACAGACAGTTTAATTACATAAGCAGCTTAGCATACTTGTACGACAAAAAGATGCTTATACATTGTACATGTATAAACGTTGATGATAAAGTAAATGCCAAGCACTGCGGCAAAGAAGTAAACACCTCCATGAGACAGAAGTTTAAAACGATAAATGTATTTAAAGTGATTTATTAATACCCTGAAGACAAAAATGTCTTCGCGGAAATTATTATTTTACTTTCTATAAAACCACATTCGCAGTTAATAGAGGTTTGTTATCAAATGATGATACTTAATATCTTTATGTTATCTTTTGATGTTATATAATTTCGTTGTTTAATTGTGTACGATGTTAGTTTATCACTTAAAAAGTTATTTTATGGGTACTTTCCCTAACAAAAATTTGAAATTACTGTCAATTTATAAAAT